AAGTAATGGGTAAAATATCAAAATAGAAGAGGGGTTTTTTTGATATTGTTGGAGCTCCTAACTAGGAGCTTGTTGGAGCTCCATAAAATAAGGAGATGCTCCCAAGGCCTATTTTTATAATTTTTTATACCAAAATGTTTGAGAGCTCTTGAGAGCTTGATGACTAGGACTCCTAACTGGGAGCTTGCTGGACTTGCTCTCAGTACCATTGCTAAGAAATAACAACTACAAGAAATAAAATCACGGATGCATACGTGGCACCTACTTGAAATTGTTGGAGATACTCCATCACCGTCCGCACCGACCTTTTACCGGTTAACCGGCAGCTCACTCGCGGACAGCCGGCACGTGCCCATCAGTCCTCTCTCCCGGCGAAGACCTCCCATTGGAAACCCATGAGACCTGCGCTGTGATCGTGCTGATTGGCTCACACGGTGGGACCCGCACCCATGAAGGTCTGATTCGGGGTGTAACACCGCGTTTTTTTTATTTATTTTTAAGAAAAAAGAAAGTTTATGTCGTAACTCGTAAGCACGGTTGGCTTTTCAAAATAGACCCTACTTGTTAGTTAAATTTTGATTTGTGACAAACTTAGAGTGGCGAAATCGAATCAAAACAAGGGATATTCATATTTATATTCGTTCGAAATCTTGCAAGTCGAACTCTCACCCCCCCCCACCCTCTTCACGCACAATTTATCCGACTTATAGTAGAATAAGCCACAGTAAATATTTATATTTACTTAAGCCACAAATTTACCATAAGATCATTTGTACCACAAAAAAGCGTCAAGTGAAAAAAATGCGCATGCGTGGGGGAGTTGATCCCATGCATTTCTAGCTTCATACGTGTCCCCGCTTTTCTACCAAACTTTTGGCTTTATTTACTCGTTTCCACCAACTACTTTTTGGGAGTTTAACAAATTGATAATCATTTGCCATCTGGCAAATGTCGGGTGATCGGATGAATGCAGATGGTAAGTGTTGAGCCACTAATTGACCAAATTTTACAGCTCAAGCATGACCACGTAAGTAGAATAGTGCTTTCAAAGATTAGTAAATTTTTTTTGATTAATACTGTAAATAGCAGAAAATTAGCTACCTGTCAATCTCATCTACATGTTTATAAGAAACTATTTAGTGGTGACGGGTTCATGATATTAAATGTACACTAAAAAAATATCAACTCTTAGGTTTATATACGAATGACGAGACATTTCCAATGATATTATTTTTATTAAAAAATATTTAATATATTAATATATATATATACAGATTTTAAGTAAGTAAAAAAAATAATAGGATACAGTGGGAATAATAAAATGTTGTTAAGAAGATTTGAGGGTTAATATTGTCTTTTTTGGGGGGAATAGTAAAATGGAGGAGGCTGCATATTTGGAGAAAAAACTCCAAATATGCAGCTGGGGGGTTGGGTTTGCAGCCGAGCTCCAAAATTTGGAGCTCGGTTGGAGTGTCACCGGGCTGCATTTTGGAGAAATGCAGCCCGGTTGGAGGTGCTCTAATTGACCAAATTTTACAGCTCAAGCATGACCACGTAAGTAGGATAGTGCTTTCAAAGATTAGTAATTTTTTTTTGATTAATACTGTAAATAGCAGAAAATTAGCTACCTGTCAATCTCATCTACATGTTTATAAGAAACTATTTAGTGGTGACGGGTTCATGATATTAAATGTACACTAAAAAATATCAACTCTTAGGTTTATATACGAATCCCAAAAATCTAATATTTCAAGAGCTAACGTCTGTTTGTTACATATTTAATATTATAGACCCATATGCAATTGATACTTTTCCGTTTAAGAATAAGTCTGTTACATGAAATTAGAGAGATTAAACACAACGTTTACTTAGTTTATCGATGAGCTGGAGAACTTTAGTATCTCAGGAAAACGAACTTCCTTAAGAACACCTCTTATTGTCTATAGCTACAAATCTTCTCTACGTACTGCCTTACTAAGAACCAAATAATTAACTAGTCCATTATTCTAATGGAGCACTTCTCTATCAAGCAAAAGAAAAAGAAAAGGACTAAAAAGAAGGGTTACCTTCACAAAACCCCCCTAAACTTCAGAGGTATTGGCACATGACACCTCTAAACTTTGTTTATCTTAAACGTTTTTCACTAGACCTCGCACATCTAAATTGTAATTAACTAAAAATTTTAGAGAAGAAAATCCAAATTTTAGGGTTGGGATTAAGTTACTTGTAAATAACAAGTAATAAAGTTTGAGATTTTTTTTCTCTCAAAAATATTTTAGTTATTTATAAATTACATGAAGAGGGACAAATGCAGTTTTTCCAGATTTCAGGTTTTAAATAAGTGACTGTTTATAGCCGTTTTGTGGACGTTAATTGGGTTTAAAATTATGTCATTTCAGAGGCTATAAATAGGTTTAAACATCAGAAAACAACAACCAAGTTTTACACTTGCAAGATCAAACATTTTGTGCATATTCACTCTCTAATTTTCCAGATTTTCATGCTAAGTGTTTAGAAAAAGAGAGTTTCTGATATTGCCTTGGTTTCAATCATTCTTAGAGATTGTATAGGCAATATTCAGAGAGTTAAAAGAATCCTAAGCCACTGCAGCACTTCACTACACATTCAAGGCTTATAGGATCAATTGTGTTCTTGCTTCAAAAAGGATTTCTCTCGGGTTTGAGAGGGTTGATCTCTTGGTTTAGAGATTGGGTGGCAATTGGCATGGTCTTGTCAATTGGTGTTGCAATTTGCATGGTCTTGCAAATTGGTCAGGTTTGCTTTTGATTTTGTAAGGTTTCAAAATCATAGTGGAAATCTCAAGCGGGATTTGCTTGGGGACTGGATGTACACCGGGTTGGTGGAACCAGTATAAACCTTTGTGTTTGTGATTGTGAATTTCTGATATTGTCATTTTTCTTTGCAATTTATAATCTACTTTGCATATATTTTAAAAGAACACTATTCACCCCTCTTCTAGTGTTCTAGTGTATCTATTTCAGATCCTACAAGGTCTATATGGGCAATTTTATAATTTTGACCGAGTCCAAACAAACAGCTTAGTCGATAGTTATTTTACATGTGTCGACTGTGGGTGGCATGAGTCATCCTTGTGATTAATGCGACGGTGACAGAGGGTCCTAGGTGATGTCGTGGTCTAATGAGTTATTAGGACTTTCGGGCGGGATGTAATAATGACTGTAACTATGCATTTAATGTGATGGTGACTGGCTGCCGGCGAGGGGTTCGAGAATGACCGCCTTTCGTCTCTACTTGGAGAGAAGGGACAACTCCTCACAAGAAGGGACATTTGTCTGGGCTTGTCTGGACCGAGTTGGGGTGTAGTCTGCTTGAGATGTGTGTCAGCCAGTTAATTGTTGATTAATACTTACTTATTTTTATGGCACAACAAGATTCATGAAGAGAAGATGGGGAAAAGAAATGAACTTATCTTACATTTTATGAGGGGTTGGAAGTTCAGATATGTACATTTTAGGCTTAGATACTGACTCAACGTATGCTAAAAAATTTTATATAAAAGGACATTATAATTATTTTTCACGTTTGTACTTGTAGTTTAAATGTGAATTTTATTGGAATAATAAGATTGTTTTGTTGTGCACGGCGCGGAAGCCAAACAAACAACCAACTATGATGCTTTGAGAAACCAAACCAACAAACGCCGAGAGAAAGACCAAACAAAACACAAACACCAAAGTTTACGTGGTTCGGCAATTGCCTACGTCCACGGGGCAAGAAGGGGGGTGGGTTTTCACTAATAGAGAAGGAGAGTACAAATTGAGATTACAAATCGCTCAAACGAACCAACTAATCTCACCAACAAATCTCTCAAACTCTCAACCAATAACCCTAACAAATAGCTCAGAAAGATCTCTCTTTTCTGTGCTCCAAAATCCCCAGATTTGCTCCTACAAAACCCTCAAATCGTATTGGTATTTATACCAAAACAGAAACCCAAACAGACTGCAAATAGGAACTCTAACTTTCCAAAAAACCCGTCATAAGTCGACTTAACAGTCTGCATAAGTCGACTTGGCAGAGCGAAAAACAACAACTGGAGAACAGAACTCTAACTTTCCAAAAAACCCGTCATAAGTCGACTTATCAGTCTGCATAAGTCGACTTGGCAGAGCGAAAAACAGCAACTGGAGAAGAGATCATAAGTCGACTTATCAGACCTGATAAGTCGACTTGGCAGAGCGAAAACCAACAATCCAGAACAGAACGTAAGTCGACTCATGCACCAACATAAGTCGACTTACCATAAGTCGACTTATGCCTGTGCATGAGTCGACTTATGACCAAAAATCTGCTTTTTCCAATTCTTCTCCACAATTCTCCACCTCGGCGAAGTTTTCCCAAAACTGATGCTAGAGAAAGGGAATAACCTTTTTCTACTATTTGGTTCTAAGAGTCTGAGACGGGATAATGTTTATTGTCATGCCTCAATAGAAATTCAGAAGGGAATACCTTTTAGTTAATTATCCGCATCTTGAAATTTGAGAACTGACATAATATCTCAAAATTGGAGATTAAACACCACCTTAACTAGTCATTCTGATGTCTGATGTTTCACGGGTCAAAGATTTGACTTCTAAGTCTGATGCAATGCACATTAATATTCAGTATTGAAATGGATGAGCTCAGCTGCACAAGCTACATTATTCTGCTAGACTAGTGGCACTAAATTATTTAGCCACGTGGAAAGTTAAATAATCTCATATTTATGCGGTAAACATGTACCAAACTTTATTTTCTAAGCCTCTAAAAGCGAAAACCACTAAAACCAATAAATATATGAGATACACATTGCAATATTAGTTAATGGAAAAAACCCTCCTAAATTTATGTTCCACTGTTCAACTGTTAATACAAATTTGCAACAGCAGACATGGCTGCATATTTGTTACTGCATTACAAGAATATATTCTATTTTAATGATAGGAAAAATTTCATAACACAATGTCATCGTAAAATCCAAAAAAATTGAAGAAAAGTGCTCAAAGAAAAACATAACAGAAATCAAACGAGAGATAAGAAGGACGAAACATACTATCAAAAGCTTCTTTATACATATCCACCAAACGGGAGCCAATTCCTTTCCTGTAATATTCCCAGTCAATAGGTTGAGGTTCCTACATGATTAATGAACACTCATGTCATTAGTCTAAGTGCAAAATATTAGCATAAGATAAACACCCACGAAACAAGAAAAATCAACGGCGCCTAAAGGGTTTTCATCTTTTTTTGATAGAAATAATACTTTTATACAAGCAATATTGTAGTTTTGTCACAATCTAAAGAAATATTATTTTTCTTTTGTATCTCATTGTAGTTTTGATTATACTGATGTGAGGAAAATGTGGACTTTTACACATATTGTGACACCCCTACTACAAATTCCTGGCTCTGCCACTGGCTCGGGTGTATATTTCAATCTAGACCACCTTTGGGTATTGAAGAGAAGAGGAAAGCAATACATCTAACATGAAAAAACAAATAAAATGAATCATAAAATGATGAAAAATCAGATTCAAACCAATTAAGATAATACTTGGTATCCACCCCGTGCCATTAGAACAAAATTTCTACAAGATGCAAACTGGCTTTGGCCGATTAACAGTGTAGAAAGACATAACTTGAAATAGCACTCCATTTCCTAATGACAGCTGAACAATTGCTCACGGAACGGCTTAAGATAGAAAATGGTAGTAAATTTTCTATCTCCGATCCCTCAAAATTTCAACAAATCGAAAGCTTGCAAAACCCTAGATCCGATCAGCTGAGGGTTTTCACCTGGCTGAACTTAGTCTGGAGTTCGTTGTTGACCTCATCGAAGGCTCGCCGGAGGTTGGCGTACTCCTTGCGAGCCTCGTCGGTGATGAGGACCTTGGCCATGCCGTCCCAGTCGATCATCGACCTCGCCGCCTTCGCCGCCGTCTCCACCGCCTTCTTCCCGCTCCCGCTCATCTTTCTCTCTCTCTCTCTTTCTCTCGAGATCGATCGATCGATCGATGAAAGGATTGATTCGATTTATTTGTTTATTTTGGAAACTTTTATCGTGAGGAGAGAAATGGGGGCTCGAGCTAGGGTAACAGGCTGGGGATATAATATGGAAGGTGTAGGTGGGCCTTTACATGGGCTGTTTAAGAATGCACAGGCCCAGAAATTTAAGCATTGCCCCTTTTATTGTACAACATTTTAAATCAGTGTAAGCAGAATATTAGTCTAATCACAAATAGTAGATCACGTGATCACAGTCTAGGTTAAAAAAAATATAACAGCATAAATAATTTATTTGATTCTCAAGGGTATCATGTGGTCACAGTCTGGGCCTTTACACGGGTATTATTGCTGATGTAGCTTCTATTGGTTTTCATTAATATAAATTCCATTTCGCTTAAAAAAATAAAATAAAAACAATATTATAACAGCATAAATAATTAAAATACCAGTATAATAGGTATAATTTGAGTACAACAGTTAAAATATTAGTGTAATCAAAGTATTTTTCCAATTAAAATTTCAATAAAATCACGAAATTTGAAATGTATACCAGAACACTTGCCCGCTCCATTTTCGGTATGGGCACCTTATGTGAGCTATCAGTTACTCAACCCTCCGACCCAACCCCTCAAAAAAATGAAGTTCTTTTTCACTAGCCTCTTCTTATTTCCTATTATCTTCATTCATGTGTTTGATGGGATTTACAGAAGAAAATGCTTCCGGAGAAAATGGAAATATTCTGCTTTTTCTTCTTCAAATATCAGTTGCATATAAAGAAAGTTGACAGTAACTTAGAATGAGATTTCAAGTAAATAATATGTTTTTTTGTTAGCATAGCAGCATTTTCAAACATCAGATACAGACAATCTTCCGCCCTAACAAACAATGTATACGGTAAAGGATTAGAGGAAAGACATGAATGAAATCCACACAAAAAGTGAGAAATAACTTATTGCGAGCCACCCCCGAGAAAAAAAAAAACTACTGCCGAGCCTCTTCCGTTCAGGAAATTGAATTCTGGACATGAACAAACTGTTGTGCACGGCGCGGAAGCCAAACAAACAACCAACTATGATGCTTTGAGAAACCAAACCAACAAACGCCGAGAGAAAGACCAAACAAAACACAAACACCAAAGTTTTACGTGGTTCGGCAATTGCCTACGTCCACGGGGCAAGAAGGGGGGTGGGTTTTCACTAATAGAGAAGGAGAGTACAAATTGAGATTACAAATCGCTCAAACGAACCAACTAATCTCACCAACAAATCTCTCAAACTCTCAACCAATAACCCTAACAAATAGCTCAGAAAGATCTCTCTTTTCTGTGCTCCAAAATCCCCAGATTTTCTCCTACAAAACCCTCAAATCGTATTGGTATTTATACCAAAACAGAAACCCAAACAGACTGCAAATAGGAACTCTAACTTTCCAAAAAACCCGTCATAAGTCGACTTAACAGTCTGCATAAGTCGACTTGGCAGAGCGAAAAACAACAACTGGAGAACAGATCGTAAGTCGACTTATCAGACCTGATAAGTCGACTTGGCAGAGCGAAAACCAACAATCCAGAACAGAACGTAAGTCGACTCATGCACCAACATAAGTCGACTTACCATAAGTCGACTTATGCCTGTGCATGAGTCGACTTATGACCAAAAATCTGCTTTTTCCAATTCTTCTCCACATGTTTTATTCTTTGTAACTTTTTGAGAGATTTTCCTGATCTTGATTAAGTACCTTTTTTTAGATGCTCTAATTGTATGATACTTTTCGACGAGACCTCTGTCATATTACATTTTGACATCTTTACAGTAGACTGGGCTTGAGGCTTGATTTTCATTTTGAAGCTAGTCTTATTTACATAGATCGATTGCAATAAGGGGAATTAATTTATTTTAATCAATCATTAGTCAGCTAGAATATAACTCTAATATGGAGCAATTGTCAAGTGGCAATATATAAAACAGATAGTTCTACTGATAACAAAGGATATTGCTTATGAGTTGTTATATCATTTAGCAATTCTTTCTCTTGATGTAACTCTAATATAGAGCAACTGCTAAGTGGCAATATATAATGTTTTACCCATAACAAAAAGATATTGCTTATGAGTTATCATATCATTTACCAAAATGAGCTTTATATATATATACATAATTACAATTCTTTCTCTTTATAATTTATATTTAGTAAAATTAGGTATCACATTATGGGCATCTTTTGCTTTATTTAATAATAACTTCTCTTTATTTAATAGAAGACAATCCTTGGGCTGGCCTGTCCCAAAATAGAATGCGTTGCCCACTCTGTGTCATTTTCGCAATTCAGTATCATTGCTATGGCCACATATTATAAGAAGCTTTTGCTAAGAAATAACAATAGAAATGTTAGGGGCACACCCCAAGTCACACCTCCAACTACACCTTCCCCTCTCATTCGCTACAGTACTCCGGGCCCGACATGACTTTTTAAAATTTAAAAACTACAAGAAATAAAATCACGGATGCATACGTGGCACCTACTTGAAATTGTTGGAGATACTCCATCACCGTCCGCACCGACCTTTTACCGGTTAACCGGCAGCTCACTCGCGGACAGCCGGCACGTGCCCATCAGTCCTCTCTCCCGGCGAAGACCTCCCATTGGAAACCCATGAGACCTGCGCTGTAATCGTGCTGATTGGCTCACACGGTGGGACCCGCACCCATGAAGGTCTGATTCGGGGTGTAACACCGCGTTTTTTTTTATTTATTTTTAAGAAAAAAAAGGAAGTTCATGTCGTAACTCGTAAGCACGGTTGACTTCGCAAAATAGACCCTACTTGTTAGTTAAATTTTGATTTGTGACAAACTTAGAGTGGCGAAATCGAATCAAAACAAGGGATATTCATATTTATATTCGTTCGAAATCTTGCAAGTCGAACTCTCACCCCCCCCCACCCTCTTCACGCACAATTTATCCGACTTATAGTAGAATAAGCCACAGTAAATATTTATATTTACTTAAGCCACAAATTTACCATAAGATCATTTGTACCACAAAAAAGCGTCAAGTGAAAAAAATGCGCATGCGTGGGGGAGTTGATCCCATGCATTTCTAGCTTCATACGTGTCCCCGCTTTTCTACCAAACTTTTGGCTTTATTTACTCGTTTCCACCAACTACTTTTTGGGAGTTTAACAAATTGATAATCATTTGCCATCTGGCAAATGTCGGGTGATCGGATGAATGCAGATGGTAAGTGTTGAGCCACTAATTGACCAAATTTTACAGCTCAAGCATGACCACGTAAGTAGAATAGTGCTTTCAAAGATTAGTAAATTTTTTTTGATTAATACTGTAAATAGCAGAAAATTAGCTACCTGTCAATCTCATCTACATGTTTATAAGAAACTATTTAGTGGTGACGGGTTCATGATATTAAATGTACACTAAAAAATCTCATCTACATGTTTATAAGAAACTATTTAGTGGTGACGGGTTCATGATATTAAATGTACACTAAAAAAATATCAACTCTTAGGTTTATATACGAATCCCAAAAACCTAATATTTCAAGAGCTAACGTCTGTTTGTTACATATTTAATATTATAGACTCATATGCAATTGATACTTTTCCGTTTAAGAAGAAGTCTGTTACATGAAATTAGAAAGATTAAACACAACGTTTACTTAGTTTATCGATGAGCTAGAGAACTTTAGTATCTCAGGAAAATGAACTTCCTTAAGAACGAACACCTCTTATTGTCTATAGCTACAAATCTTCTCTACGTACTGCCTTACTAAGAACCAAATAACTAGTCCATTATTCTAATGGAGCACTTCTCTATCAAGCAAAAGAAAAAGAAAAGGACTAAAAAGAAGGGTTACCTTCACAAAACCCCCCTAAACTTCAGAGGTATTGGCACATGACACCTCTAAACTTTGTTTATCTTAAACGTTTTTCACTAGACCTCGCACATCTAAATTGTAATTAACTAAAAATTTTAGAGAAGAAAATCCAAATTTTAGGGTTGGGATTAAGTTACTTGTAAATAACAAGTAATAAAGTTTGAGATTTTTTTTTCTCTCAAAAATATTTTAGTTATTTATAAATTACATGAAGAGGGACAAATGAGAAATGGTTAAAGCTCAGAGGTGTTATGTAAGACACCCCAAGGGTCAGGAGATTATATATGAGAGATACATTAGGGACTGATTCCAGAGGATTAAACTCCGTAACTTGATCAACATCAGCAATGATATTTAAGAACTATATAACTGAGCCTTTTCCTTTTACAATGTCAAAGGAACATTCATTGCAGGTAGAGGAGCAAGAATGTCAAAAAATAATATAATCTGCTAGGATGCGCTAGTTAAAAAAACTAATATTTGCTCAAAACCTTAGCTCACCGTTATAAACTGCCGCAAGTAGTCTGTAGCAAGTATAATCATCGATGGGCTTTTGCCCGTCGCTAATATTTGCCATCGCTAGTCTATAAAAATAAAGCCCAAACCTTAGCTCTAAAACCGCTATCAAATGAATTCTTTCTTTCATCTGCTTATCTCTTCAAGCTGGATGTCAAGGAGAAATCGAAGGCTGACCTCCTGAGTATGCTCAAGGATCTCAGGACAGAGTTCGTCCTCCTCCGCGTCACTAAGGTCTCTGGCAGTGCTCCCAACAAGCTCTTCAAGATGTAAGCGCATCATCAATTTCTAGATTTCAAAAAATAATAATTTTCTTGTTGGTGATCATCTCGTTGTTTGATAGCAGCAACGTGGTGAGGCTCGGAATCCTATGGTTCTGATGTGTTTCTCACTGTAATTTGAGATCTAGAGTCTTTTTCTGAAATCCTCGTCGCAATGTCCAGCCACTCCCTTCCTCTGCTCACTGCTTCTCCCCCACTTCCCTCCCCTCCTCGTTGCTCCTCCTCCAACTTGTCATCCTCCCCTTGCAAGAGGTAAACTAATCTTTTTATTGGCTAATTTTTATATTTTTATTTAATTAAATATGTTGGAATTTGATAATTATGCAATGAGTATTACCCCTACCCTAGCTACCCTAATTTTGAATCTCCAAGCAATAATATAGGAATCCAT